GAAATCCTGTCTGAGAGTGTTGAGAGAGTGTTATTCACTAATATCCTTAAGGGAAAAAAAAGCTCTATTAAGCATTTACAGATACAGTCACTGAGCCTAAACAAACTAATGAAATCCCACTATGTGTCACAAAGGGGACAAAAGGAATAGAAATAATATAAGAAAAGGCCTCAAAAGTTGCTGAAAGGAAAGGCCTCAAAAGTTGCTGAAAGGAAAGGAGTAGAGCCAAGAAAGCAACATCCTGCACCTCCTCTCTGAACTCCAGTGGTGCCCCTCTGCACAAACATCGTACTCCATGTTTATTTGGTTGGGACCTCACATTTATTTGCTTGCTTTTTATGTGTGGGAGGAGGTCATGTCAAGCCAAAAAGGATGCAGAGCTGGACACCAGGACTGGGGAAAGGGACAGTTGCTCTATAGGGCCTTACCCCCTGACTATCCAGTGGAAGTTGCAGTATCACCCATTCAGCATCCTTTAGCCCCCTCAAGATAGGGCAGAAGTAGAGTGTGGGCAGGGAACCAATAGAAGAACAGCTCATGAATAAGCTATGCTATATCGGGGCAGTGGTGAAGTGGGAGGGAACACATGATTTCCAGGGAGCTCTGTAAGAGTGTCAGGCTGACACTCCATGCACTTCACTGAACCCACAAGTCACTGTCTCTGCAGAGAATAGTTAGGAAACTCTATGCAGTTCACCAAGCAGAGTTTTCTTAATAAGTTTTCCCTCCCTGTAGGTGTCCCCTTTCACAGAGACAATCAGGCCCTCTATTTTCTCTTCAGGACTTAAATCTCCTAAATCTATTAATTCAAAAGAGAATCTCAAATGATTTGAAGAGTGGTAGAATTTAGGGCACTTGTGAAATGTCCTGAAGGAAGAATGTCTGCAATTTTATGAAAATGTCAAATGACTTCTCACCCCACAGTACTGCTCCTCATTGAAGATCTGTGGAGGGAGGGGGATTCCATTTTGTGGCTTCTTTTCACCTGGGACGTTCTCTCTCATCCATTTCCTGTTGTCCTCATCACCAGCTATGTCCATTTGCTTAAAGTCAATCTTGTTGGCCTCTAAGAAGCCCACTACTTCTTGCTGTTTCTTCTTAATCTAGTTAAAAGAGGAGGAAAAAACAAGAATTGTTATTTTCATGTAAGCTAAAAATATAGACTTGTTATATTAAGAACCAATGCAGCTATATCAAACTGGATGCTTCATCCAATATAGAACAGCTACCTTTAAGCTAGTCTTTACTTATGAAATTTTATTCTGCCAAGAATCTTTTCTTTTGGGCCTGCCCCTTAACACTTAGGCCAGAGGTACAATTAAGGATGCTTGATGAAAAAGGTTTCCTTAGTTCCTGTATTGGAAACTTTTCCCACTCCATCTGCACTTTGCGGTTTTACAGGAACATCAAGAGGCGTTGTATACACAATGTTAGGACATAACTTCCATTTGTGTATCAGATAAAATTTCAACATGTCACTTGTACATTTTGATTCTAATGTTCTGAGCAATTGGAACCCAATCCTGCAGCATATGCCATTAGTTCGCAGCTATAATTCTGATGTTGATTATTTTCTGTTCGTTTGGTGAGAGACCTGCACTATTAAGGGACTAATGGCATGAGTTTGAGCTTAAGCACCATGCATGCTTCCTCACAGAGTTGTGCTAATCACACGCACCTAATCTGTGACCAGCAACATCGGTGTTCCAGACCTGGGTTTCTCTTACTGCCACTTATGCTAAACCATGTGGTAATTTAATGACATATCAAAATGGTTACTAGAATGATTCCCACCAAGGTAATTTTTGCTTGTGACTCAGATGATTTGAAAGCGGATTTGCAGAAGTGAAACATTTGAACACTGAAACCCACAATGACACCTAGCCAATGTAATTCAGATTTTAGCAATGAGACAGGAAATAAGCCTGCAAATTAATCTACTACTGTGTGTCTATAATCTAATCAGCCTGAAAAGCTGGAAAAGAAGAAGATGGTCAGAACATTTTATTAAAGGACTCATTTTCATTAGTGTTATTGTTAAAACTAATAATGAAAACCCCTCTGTGCTTACTTCTACAAAGACAGAAATAAAATCACAATGTGTAGAATTTTGGGACAAAAACTTAGCTTTGCAAAAAGGGCTAAAACAGACAACTTGGGATGGAAACACTAATACAACGTGTTTAAAACATGCAAGTGAATATGCAATTGATCAGTCTAAGGCCATGTCTACACCCCAACCCCCAGGGGCCCGACTGCTGAGGAGAGAAGCTGAGGGAGCCGGAATTGTGCCAGGCGGAAGAGGGGAGCGAAATTTAAGCGTAGACACATCCACAGTTAGATCAATGAAAGCTGCCTTGCATCAACCTAACCGTGTAGTGTAGACCAGGTCTAAGAGGTTGTTTGGTTTTGTTTTTAAAAGGGAATTGTTTTTAAAAAGGCCATTTAACTGCACAGTTCTTTTAAGGAAACTTTCTGATGACAGGGTTGCCTTGGGCACTCATAAGGGCATCACATCAGAAGAAATTAACAGGAGAACATCTGTATAAATCATACACAAAATAGACATTCAAACAATACTAATGTTTATACCTAATGCTACTAAAGCCAGTAAACAGCGTGTTGACAGCTCTAATTCCAGCATTAGCCCATCTCATTGTGCACAGGAATTTAAGCACATATGGTACACAGGGCGCAACATCACCTAGTGCTCCAAGAGCTGTGGGAGGAGGAACGACAGTTGAACTGCAACCCAGCATTGCCTAGTTTATGGCTTTAAGTATTAGACATGGGTAAGCAAGGTTTGTCTAATTTCAGACTCACATAGATATAGTGGGATAGAACATTCAGCTCAAACAATATTAGGACAGAGTGTAAAACAAATACAGAGACTTTTAAAAAAGGAAACGTGGGCGGGGGGGGGACTTCAACATTTATTATTTTTTAATCTCTGGTGATTCTTAAGCCAGTGTTGTACTTAGTGGGGAGTCTGACTCATGATTTTTGAATGCCTGGGGCTGTCAATACTATATTATGCATTATTTATTTACAGATAGTTGTAAAAGGAGTGACTCACATTAATGTTATCTCAGGTCAGCGGCAGCTTCAGATTTTAAAAAGTATCAGTAAAAAAGTCTATTGTAATGTGTTCAAAACAGTTCTGAATAAAAACCTTGGCCTGTGTTTTAGTATCAATACATGAGACTGAAAGCATATAAAGTATCATAACAGCTTATACTGTATTGATGAACAAAATATGGAAATCAGGAAATAGGAGTTCTGTTCTCATCTCTGCCCCAGACCTGCTATCTATTGTTTGCATTTCAGTAACATTAGACACCCCAATCAGGGCCCCCATTGTGCTAGGCATTGGGTACTTAGATAAAGTAACAGTTCCTGCCCATGTAACCTTTAACAGCTCTGTGCCTCAGCTGTAAAATCATTAAGGCCCTACTTGAACCCAGGATGATCTTCAAATAATTGCGGCTGAATTGAGGACAAGACATGGAAAAATCACGGAAAAGTAATAATGGACTTTTATTAATAGCAGCAATTTGGAAAAGCCAGAGTTGACCTATTTTTTAAAAAAAAAAAAATCTGGAACGATATAAACTCTTAAGTATTATATTATGCCTGCTAATTTTTTTGCTAACCAGACATTTTGCTGCAACTATATTACATTTTTTTTTTAAGTGACTGGTACAACGTAAAATTCAAAAGACTAAATGTCTTAACACAACTGCTGTAGAAACTGAGTCCAGTCACTTTAGCCTTTTATATTTTACAGGCATTGAATGTTAGTGCAGTACAGGCGAGTCGCATCATACGCACATTTAACTTACGCGAATTCAACTATACGCACTCGGTAAAAAAAAGAAAAACAACAAGATACGTGTAAATAGTGCGGGCGATTCCACCCAATGAGCGCATGCCCCGGAATGAGCGTGAGATGGGAGACGTGAATCTTCTGTTCCCTCAGTCGGTCTCAGTTCCTGCGTGCCTCTCATAGTGTGAGCATCTCACCGCGCTGAGTGTGATTCTAGTGTTTAAAGATACGTATTTTTCATACAACATGGCCCCTAAACGCAAGCCAACTACTTCATCTGGTGCTCAACCGAAGAAACAGTGATCTGTTCCAACGCTGGAGGAAAAACTGGCTGTGTTGGACTTACTGAGAGATGGTATGTCGGTCTCCAACGTGGCGCGTAAGTATGGCTGCAACTAATCTAGCATCCGTGCCATCAAGATTCGAGAGAGAGAAATTCGTCAAGCCATGGCATCAAGTGCTCCAATAACTGCTAAGGTGACAAGCCAGGTGCGTGTTAAGACTTTAGTGAAGACTGAAAAGGCATTAAACTTATGGCTGGAAGACATGAACCGTAAACATGTGCCTATCGATGGCAATACGTTGCGAGAAAAGGCTCTTAGCCTCTACGCGCTGTTCAAACCTCCTGCTGAAGAGGGACAGCCTTCTGATGAGAAGGAATTCAAAGCCAGCCAAGGTTGGCTTAACAGTTTTAGGAACCGCTTCAACCTCAAAAATGTGCAGACTACTGGTGAAGCTGCATCTGCCAATGAAGAGGCAGCAAAAGCCTACCCCGAACAATTAAAGAAAATCATAGAAGAAAAGGGCTATCTTCTGGAACAAGTTTTTAATGCTGACGAAACTGGGCTCTTCTGGAAAAAAATGCCCAACCGCACTTATATTTCGAAATCAGAAAGACAAGCCCCTGGCTTCAAAGCAGCTAAAGACCGTGTGACTGTGTTGTTTTGTGGCAATGCGGCTGGGCATTTAATAAAGCTGGGCTTGCTCTACAGGGCTGCAAATCCCCGTGCCCTAAAAGGCAAGAACAAAAATCTCCTGCCTGTGTTCTGGCAATCAAATAAAAAGGCTTGGGTGACGGCAGCATTATTTCTGGATTGGTTCCACAAGTGTTTCATTCCGGAGGTCAAGCGGTATCTTGAAGAGAAAGGACTTGACTTTAAAGTGTTGCTGATCATAGACAATGCTCCTGGCCACCCTGCGGCACTCCGGTTTGCACATAATGACGTTGAAGTCGTCTTTCTCCCCCCCAATACCACCTCCATCCTCCAACCTCTCGACCAAGGAGTGATTAGCTGTTTCAAGGCCACGTACACCAGGTTTACGTTCTCATGGAGACGTAGCACTATAGATGCTGATCCCAATCTTAATGTGATGGAGTGTTGGAAGTCCTTCAACATTGCCGATTGCATCACTTATATTAAACAGGCAATGAATGCAATCAAGCCTGAAACAGTCAACGCATGTTGGCGAAACCTATGGAAAGAATGTGTGAATGATTTTAAGGGTTTCCCGACCATTGACAAAGAAGTGAAACGCATTGTTCAGGTGGCCAGGCAAGTGGGTGGTGATGGCTTCATCGACATCCTTGAGGAAGAAATTGATTAATTGAGAGCCATAGAGAAACATTGACTAACGAAGAGTTAGAGGAACTGATAAAATAGTCTACAGAAGACGAAGATGATGACGACAAACAGGAAGAGCCAGCAAGTTGGAATCTTCATAAATTTGCTGAAGTGTTCCAAGCAGCGAAACACTTGAATGATTTAATTTCTGAATAAGATCCCTCTATGTAACGAAGCCTCAAAATCACACGTAGTATTATGGACGATTTGAGACCGTATCAAGAAATGTTTGAGCAGCTCGAGACACAACAGCGACAGTTGCCGATCACCATGTTTTTCAAGGAAAAACAACCAGCAGCAGATGAGCCTTCACAATCAACTTCTCGAGCTGAATCAGAGCCAACCACTTCATCTACAACTCACTCTCCGTCACCCAAGTTCTCTGACACCTCTGTCTCCTGGATCGACATCAAGCCCTGACGACCCCCTGTAATTACTCCCGGTAATTAAAAATACAGTACTATATTATATACCGTACATTACTGTATACATTATACATATTACTGTACAGGGTTGTATACACAAAACCATGTACAGTATACTGTACTTATGGGCGATTTAAGGGATTTTCAAGAGTAATTTTGACTATCCGCGATTTTCGCTTTAAGTGCTGACTTTAGAACCTAACCCCCGCGTAAGATGCGACTCCACTGTA